GGCCTGAAGGTCAAAACCTTGACCTAAGGACCATATGGGACAGAACTTGTCATTTCATTGATTTGCATCCAGAAATATAGGTTGACCCATCCTGAGACTTTCTTTCTTGAATTAATCTAGTAAAAGAAGACTACTTTCTATTATCATTACCATTTTACAAATGTTTTGATAATCAAATTGTGTTAGTTCAAACAATGTTTAAATGTTGAAATGAACTACTCATTTTTATTAACTGTGAAACAGTAATAATGATTCTTAATCCTCATTCAAAGTGAAATCAAGTTAGAATACGTTACAGAGTAATGATTCAATTTCTTGATCGTCTGTTTGAAGTGAGCAAGTGATGGAAGTTGGTCAAAGTTCAAGTTTCGGTCAACTGCAAGTTACTGAAAAAGAAATGTCATGTTTAACTTTTACAGCAAGATACTAGAGAATTGACTCCACGAAGTCTGAAGTTTCTCATGATATCTTTTGTCTGTCCTTAAACAATCTTAATCTTTTCCTTGACTTTTCATAACACCTTACATCACAAAACACACCTCTGTTTTGGTCCATCGACCAATCAGAAACTCTCAAATGAACCGGAAGTTAGCTTTCTTTAAATGTTGGCACTTCCTAGTTCAAGCTAGTTTCCAGTTGTTGCAAGAAGTTCTGCAGTTCTGAAACTCAGCAGTTCCAGAGTTCATGAAGGCTGGAATTCAGGATGCTGATGGGAGAAAGAAAATCAAGCTGAACCAGAGAAGATCTGGGAATTATTAAAGTCTGTCCTGGATGACCTCACGACTCCCGAGGTTTTAGCTGTTCTTACGGAGACGCTGAAAAGTGGCTCGAAGTGGAACTTTACGCCGGAACTGAGATATCTTCAGAAAGGTAAAAGTCGATCTTCACCAAAAGTGTACCGTTGGGGCAAGCTGATTTCCAAAGGAGCGTGCATGTTCTGGTTAAAACAGACAAATTCCCTCACATATCTCTCTGTAGATGAACTTCATCTTTCCATCTTTAAAATTCTTCTATCTGCTAAAAATCATTACAGATATCTTTAGAAATGTCTGAAGCAAAGTTTTCCAATCACCTCCGTGTGGTTGACGTCTGCTATATTATTGGAAGTGAGAACAATCGCCGCATTGTTCACTTACTGTAAACTGATTAATAAGCTGTCGTTATTTTCAATTTTTGCCAATTAATGTAAATGTGTGATGTGTTAAACTTGATTCTGTTAATAAATGACCCACTGTCTTGGTGAGTCAAAGATAATTAACGTCTCACGTCCACATTTTATTAAATTCAGATGCACGTCATTATACAGTCCAGAAAAATGAAAGAATCCGTTTTAACAGTATGAATATATGACAGCATATGTTCTACTACATCAGTAAAGGCCAAAAAGAGCCAACTGTTAAATGGGTACATCGTAACCAGGTTAAACCATACAAAGTGTGCAAAGAAACAAACAAACGGGACAGCGTGACTGAATCTGACAACCAGGGTGAGGTGAAGCAGTGAAATGATGTTTCTAGTTGCTTAGTCACTACTCTTGTCGGTGTTGAAACGTTGTTGAATTGGTTTTGGTTGTTTCTGAGGTAAGAATGAATTTTGTGTGTAAGTTTTAGTTGGAGACTGTAAAGGGTTTTAACTATGCCAACATGCAGTTCATTCGTTAAATTGCAATCTTTGCGGAGTCAATGTATATTAATGCTACCTTAAGTACCATAATCTACATTGGTCTCACAACGCTTAAGCCGAACCTACTCGAACAATTCTATTCGGGGGGATAGCTAATTCTTTTTGATGAGTCTCGCCATAGACTTCCAAAAACATTTATGGGGAAACCAAACACCCAATCTCAAGTCGTTCGTCTAAAAGACAACAGACAATTGAACCAAACTATATTTTGCCATGTAAAGCTAACTTAAACCAAGTTAGAAATGGAAAAATAGTTTGGAACACTCTTCTATAGGTATAAATCCCTATTACTACCTTTTTCAGCATGTTCCACCCCTTAACTGGTAGTTGTAGCTGTTCCCAATCATAATAGCTTACACACCAGGTGCATATAGTTTAAGGCCTTATGTAAAATCCCTTTCATAAGCCCACCTTAAACCACATAATTGCATGACACATTGAACCAGAACGGCACAGACTGGACGTCGCCCAGAGATGACCGTCGCTGGAGGAGACCTGCAATCCTGACGCTGGTCTCCAATCTTCATCCAGTGGCCGCATCTTCAGTTCAATCCAAGGGAACCCCTCTGTATGCTGATCAATCAACACTTCCAATCGTTGTGGATTTACCGTTGTGGATTATATGACTTTTTCCAATGGATTACAGACTCTGTTTCCAAGGGGGTTAAAGCATTGCTACAATGGAATTACCAACGACGTTATGGAATTATCATCAACACAATGGAATTACCAAGAACATTGTGGAATTACCTTGACTTTTGTTTTCCTTGCTGGATTACTTTTGACTTTTGTTTTCCTTGCTGGATTACTCTTGACTCTTGTTTCCTTGCTGGATTACATCAAGCTCAAGGACATTCGAAGGCTAAGTTCATGTTAGAATTCATCCCCATGGACAGGCGATGATTTCCAAAGGGGGGACTGTAGTGAACTAGGCCTGAAGGTCAAAACCTTGACCTAAGGACCATATGGGACAGAACT